AAAACCAGTTGTGCTTAAAAAGTGAGGTTGATTATATACCGCTGTGAAATAAAAAATGAATGAATTCAGCTTTTTGGGCTACTTCCTAATATCTACATTGAGTACATATCTACATGGTTTCATTTTTCTGAAAAAGTAGACCTGTTTTGCAGTTATTCACCTTATGCAAGGTCTAAATAATGCATTTTAGTTACATTTTAAACTCTAAACTCTGCAGGATTAGCTTGTCGGATGGTGATCCTAACCGCACTTTTTGATGTACTAAAATATTTCCGACAATTTCTTCAAAGTGCTTACCATATCATTTTATTACAAAGTATTTATTGACTAATTTGCATTTAAACAGTAAATTATTACAGTTTTATACATGTTATAAGATTAGCATTTGAAAAAAAGACTTATTTTTAAATACAAATTTTTTATGATCCATTATTTTAAAAAATAGGAATAGGATATGGAAGTACTGACATTTTCCTTGAGACAACAAGCCTTATATTTATTTGGAGTCTGTTGATCTTTGATACGTAACCTAAATTTTATATAGCAACATTTTATCAACCATATATGAATGTAAATAAGATTGTATTCGGTGGCCTTTGACAGTTGAATTGTGTCTTTTTTGTTTCCATCCAGGTTCCTTTGAAATTTTTTAAATTTTTTTTCCTTTTTCTAATTATATTATACACACACACACACACAAACACACACACACACACACACACACACACACACACACACACACACACACACACACACACACACACACACACACACACACATATATATATATATATATATATATATATATATATATATATATATATATATATATATATATATATTAAGTCAGAATTATTACCCCCCTGAATTATTAGCCCCCCTGTTTATTATTTCCTCAATTTCTGTTTAACGGAGAGAATATTTTTGTAATACATTTCTAATCATTATAGTTTTAATAACTCATCTCTAATAACTGATAATTCCTTATAATTCCAAGGTATACAGTTGAATTATTAGCCCCGATTGGAATTTTTTTCCCAAATTATGTTTAACAGAGAAAGACATTTCCACAGTATGTCTGATAATATTTTTGTTCTGGAGAAAGTCTTATTTGTTTTATTTTAGCTAGAATAAAAGCAGTTTTAAATTTTTTAAAAGCCATTTTAAGGAAAAAAAATATTAGCCCCTTTAAGCTATATATTTTTTCGATAGTCTACAGAACAAATCAACATTATACAATAACTTGCCTAATTACCCAAACCTGCCTAGTTAATCTAATTAAATGTAAATCTAAATCTAAAGGCTAAGCCTTCAAATGTCAATTTAAGCTGTATAAGTGTCTTGAAAAATATCTAGTAAAATATTATTTACTGTCAGCATGGCAAAGATAAAATAAATCAGTTATTAAAAATGAGTTATTAAAACTATTTTTTTTAGAAATATTTTGAAAAAAATATCTGCTCTCCATTAATCAGAAATTGGAGAAAAATAGTAATAACTCTGACTTCAACTATATATATATATATATATATATATATATATATATATATATATATATATATATATATATATATATATATGCATTAAATAATGAAATATAACTAATTTCCTTTATTTCTGATCAGACCATTCATTTTAGACTATTTTACAATTGTAATATGTGCATATGCTTTTTTTAAAATAACATTCGTCTAACAAATATTTTAGCACATCGAAAGTAATTAAATGACCTGTTTTTTGATTAAAAGCCTTTATGCAAAAGGATCAGAAATTGATCGTGCACGCGCAGGAAAATGCAGTTATGTGACACATGCAACACATGCATGGCTCCTATGCCGCGTTTTTAGGATAAATTGGCATATAGGTGCTGCTTTGAATAGAATAAAACTATTTAAAAACACATTAAAAACTTCACAAAGCGTATCTTATGGAAAAACACCAATTGCCGGGGTCTGCTTTCGGTTTTAAAAGAATCAAGCAGCTTTAAAAAAATATAATTTGTTGAAGAGAAATGACAGAAAAAAAGATTAAACATATCGGGACTGTTAAAAGAACATTTCTCTTTAATATATTCTTTCGACTCCGAAACATCAGCTAAGATTATGAATTACGGAGTGTCTCTATTGCCTGCTTCAGCAGTGCGTCGGGCTGGTTATGAACGAGGAGGCGGAGAGAATGCGCTGTTTAGTTTCGGCTTGATATATTTAAATAAAAACTAACACAGAACTGCTTTTTGCTCAAAAAGTTAAACTAAAACGCACAACTCTTGTTGGTTGCACCCACGGGATGCACAATAAACCTAACGCGCCATTATTTTAATTCTATATTCGTGAAGAATGAGCCATGAGATTGAGATTTTTGAAGGTGCTCTCCAGCGGCGAAGTTCCTGGCAGAGTAGCGAGTGAAAAAATGTGCATGCAGAAATTGGACAAGAGGAATAACATTTTAAATAATAAACGTTAAATGTTATTATAAATGTTAAATAAACATTTTAAACAAGCATCGTATTCTTTCTAATCCCCGCCCAGTTTTAATACAAGTTGTGTCCTTTAATATTTGTGGCAGGGAAGTTTATTAAGAATATATTTATAATTATATATTATTAAATAATTACATATATATATATATATATATATATATATATATATATATATATATATATATATATATATATATATATATATATATATATATAGAGAGAGAGAGAGAGAGAGAGAGAGAGAGAGAGAGAGAGAGAGCCATTACAAGTAAAACAACAACAACAAAAAAACAACAATTTTACTTTAAAGAAAAACAGATGTTTTGATAAAAAAAAACTGAACAAAACTGAAACTAATTTATTAAAACTAAACTTGCGGGACTTTATTTATGTCCTGTGGCAAAATTATTTTTATTATACTTTATGTTATCTGCTTGAATGGGCTAGGTCACATTTATCAATGGTAAGTTTTAGTCTAAGTTTACATCAATAACAATGTGCATTGTCCTTTACCATAAAAAAAGGAAGAAAAAAAAACATTATTATACACCATAGTAGCCGCAAATCTTTTTAAATGCATTAAAAAGCAAGCACATATCTTAGCCTTACCTTGAGTTTGTTCACATTCTGCCTGTATTAACATACATGCTGTATTTTATTATAGTTCATTTTGATAAATTAGGTCTAACTGACAGCTGTTTCTTCTTTTTTCGCGGTTATGCAGCATTATATTTCATATTGAAATTAAAATACCAAACATACTGAGCCATTAATTAAAAAAACAAAACAACAGTTATAGCTTCTTTAAAGGAGAACATTGACGTTTTGAAAAAAAAAAAAAAAAACTGAACTGAAACTAAATTATTAAAAATAAACCTGCGAGACTTAACTTATGTTATGTCCTGCGGCAAAATTAGTTTTATTATACTTTCAGTGATCTCCTTAAGGTTGGTCAATTTATTTATTTATTTATTTATTTGCTTTTGATGAAGCAGCATTCAACTTAAGCTCTTTAGACCATGCCCCTGACCGTTTCTTAGTGTTTCGCCGCAATATCTTTTAAATAAATTATTTATTTAGGCCTATTTTCATTATTAATTAGTTTTCATTATTTGTTTATTATTATGTGCAATTGTTGAGACATAAAATAAGATATATATAAATAATAAAATAATAATATATAAATAATCTTATAAATATATAAATATAATCAACAACGAAAATTAAAACAAAAACAGAAATAAAAACATAAATGAAAATGTCTTGTCTTAGTCCTATCAAAATAGCAAACACTGAACATCTCTCTATATTTAGGCTAAAAGACTGCTTTATTTATTTATTTAAGACTCCTCATTTGTACTGAATGTTTGTGCTTTCATGTTAGTTGTCTTTTATTTCTTCAATTCTATTTTCCAAAACTAGTCCTCTTTGCACTTAAAAAGTTTACAATAAAGTGTGTTAACAAATTTTAAATGATTAATGAAGGAATTATAATGCTTTGACTTATTGTTTAATCTCATTTACAAGCACAGTAGCATATTTAAAGCTGCTGTAAAGGCTATTTCTGTCCGTTCGCATCCCGTCCCTTTGCGCCCCCTGGCTACTCATTCACAAGCTGCGGTCATATACTAAAAACAGAGCGGCAGTTATTTCAAACGGCGGCGGTATAAGGCGGGCGGTAATAGTCACTTTGAACTCTCACCTACTGTATATATATGTATATATATATATATATATATATATATATATATATATATATATATATATATATATATATATATATATATATATAAATGGGATAAACGAGCACATATAAAAGGTCAAATTGTGGACTTTGTCAGTTTGGGGTGGGTCTTTCGAACCACCTAAACCCCACCCTGGCTAGGGGCCTGACATTTTTGACCATTTATCATTTTCTAATCTTGCCCTTTTTTGGGCGCCATGTGAGAAAACAGAAACATGGTTAGAAAAAAAGTTTTTTTTTTTGTGTGTGTGTATGTGTGTGATTGAGTCTGTGATGGAAACTTGACACAGCGTAGAACAGGAAGTATGCAGATGACCACAGACCCTAAAAAAATAAGACCTCAGATCTTAAAATAGCTCCTGTGTGATAAATATAAATCAGTGATGATTACTTACATTACCTGTTTTTTGAACCTTTATAACCGATAAACAATTTAATGGTAAAATTCTCAAAAAACAACAAACAAAAATAAAAACAAGAAAATATCTGCAAAAGCAGTATTTTCAGAAATCCTCAGGCCTCATGCTATCAACAACAACAACAACAAAAAAATAATTAAATGTACTCATTTTCATATTTTAAGGCCTTCAAGATGTCTGTAAATGTAAAATGTGCTATTGTTTAGTATCATTTAGTTGCAAAATAACTTGAGGAAACTCATGATCTTGAGTAATCATTGTGGCTTTGGCGCGCACACACACACACACACACTTTTGCACAGCTCTGCAGAGAAGTGTAAACCCTTCTAGGCTCTACAGGAAGTAGATATGGCGGAACTTGGAGATGCTGTTTGCGTCACAAGCAAGTTTAGCACAAGATACAGTAGATGAAACCGTCTCTAGGATCAGAGACACGGTTGAAAAAATGGAGGAAGACATTCGAAAGAAGGGGATGCTGTATTTACAACAGCAGCGGTTCGGGAAGGTAAGGCGAACATGCTTTCTTTACTGGGGGCTTTGAGTTGAAGGATTGATATGAGACTATATGAAAGAACAACTGGTTTCTTTTGGAGAACAATATAAGTGTTTCTCTTTCTGTTCTCATAAATGCTGTAAACAAAAGCCTTAAATCAATTGGCATGAGTAGAGAAGCCACTAGGTTACATAAAGTACCACAAAACAATGAAAACCATGTTGGGTCTTTTTTTTTTATGTCAAAATTGCAAAACTTTCTGTTGCAGGATGCCACCGGACAGTTGGCCCTTATAATTTCCTGTGTAAAAATTGCAAGTTCTATGCGCGGTTGTTTGCAAAATTGCAGAATAGCTGTTCATAATTCAAACGGACAGAAACAAAAAACATAAATAACTGTTAATAAGTTAAATTTGTCAAATGTAAAGTTTCAAAGGCCATTTCAAGGATCACTAATGTACTCTTGATGTTCAAGCTTTTATATCAGCACTTAAAGTTGTTTTCAGTTGTTTTTCATTTTTAACCTCAGGGGAATGTATTGAATTGTTCTTATGTTCAGTATATTAAGACAATCGTACACCACTGATATATATATATATATATATATATATATATATATATATATATATATATATATATATATATATATATATATATATATATATATATATATACTAGATATTTTTCAAGACACTTATTTACAGCGGAAAGTTACATTTAAATGCTTAACTAGGTTAATTAGATTAACTAGGCAGGGTTAATTAATTAGGGTTATTAGGCAAGTTATAGTATAAAGGTGATTTGTTCTTTTGACTATCAAAAAAATATATAGCTTAAAGGGACTAATAATTTTGACCTTAAAATGGCTTTTAAAAAATTAAAAACTGGTTTTATTTTAGCCAAAATAAAACAAATAAGAATTGCTCTAAAAGAAAAAATATTATCTGACTCTGTTAAACATAATTTAAGAAATATTCAAAAAAAAAAAAAAAGAAAAGAAAAATTTTAGGGGGGGTAATAATTCTGACTTCAACTGTATTTAACTAAATAACAGCATAATATATTGTTACAATCAATAGTTACATTCAGTATATTAAAGTTAAGCGGTTTCCCATCTGGACTGGGAGCTGGGCTGTAGCTGGAAGGTATTCTGTGTGTAAAACATGCCAGAGTAGTTGGCGGTTCATTCCTGTCATTTACTCTGACGATCCCTGATAAATCAGGGATTAACTGAAGAAAAAAAGTTAAGCCCCCTCTAGCTGGTGTTAAAATTATGACAGTTTTGTGTTGCATGTATCATCATGTAATAATTTAATATAATTTTACAACCATTCATAGCTTTTTAATCAAGTGGCTAATTCATATTAACGTGTACAGCCTAATTTTTTACAGTTGTATTTAAGGGGTGTGGTTTGGAAATATGCCTCTTTTTAAAAAAATCCTACATTTTCATGTGAATATATTCATATGAATTTGAATGAATTAGCTACTTTTCATTTGTACTTTATTTTTATTGAGAACCTTTTTACATTTACAACAGAACACTTTACATTCACAAAAACAAAAATATAAAATTTTACCGTATTGCACATGAAATAATAAACAAATACTAAAATTATAATGAGTAAATAAACAACACAACATTGGGGGCTTACTTCAGTATATTCAACAGTCTTAAATAATCCATTAACCAATCCATTTCTTCAAATGTTTTAAAAATAAGTACTTTTTAAGTCTCAAAATAAATGTCAATTCTTCCATATTGCCTGTTTGCTTCACAATTTCTATCCAATCACTAATAGAGGGAGTGTCATGCTTACACCAGTATCTGGTAATACTCTTCTTGCTTATAATAATATTAATTCCTTACATTTATATAGCACTTTTCTGTACACAAATCGCTTTGCGCATTTTTGGGGGGGATTCTCCTCATCGACCACCAGTGTCCAGCATCCACCTAGATGATGTAATGGCAGCCTTATTGCACCAGACCGCACACAACACACAAGCTGATTGGGGGAGAGGAGACAGAGTGATGAAGCCACTTATGATATGGATATATAGGGGGTCATGATGGACAGAGGCCAGTAGGAAAATTTGGCCAGGTTGCCGGGGTTAAACCCCTACTCTTTTTCGAAGAACATCCTGGGATTTTTTTAACAACCACAGAGAGTCAGGACCAGGAAATTACACATGATATAAAACTGGTGTTACCAATCAAAATGGAGATTAATTTCATTGCAATTTGAGGACCCTTATCCATTATTATTTTAATTCCAAAGGACACAATTCATATTTACACATTTGGAAGAGACATTGAAGCACAATTTACAATCTATTCTTATAGCATACTATTTAATAGGGTATGATTTCCTTGGGATCCAGCCCGTAAGTTTTACGCTACAATGACACAATGCGAAATATGCCTACTTTTTAGTAAACACTCCTAATACCATAATTCATTCAATCATTAATTTTTCTTTGGCTTAGTTCCTTTATTCATCAGGGGTCACCACAGCGGAATGAACCGCCAACTTATCCAGCATATGTTTTACACAGCAGACGCCCTTCCAACTGCAACCCAGTAATGGGAAACATCCATATACACTTATTCACACATACACTATGGCCAATTTAGTTTACTCAATTCACTTATAGTGCATGTCTTTGGACTGTAGGGAAACCGTTTTTTTAAAATTTTTATTATCATTATTTTATATTTAATAATAGGCGGTTCATTTCACTGTGGTGACCCCTGATTAATAAAGGGACAAAGCCGAAAAGAAAATGAGTGAATGGATATATAATAATATATAATAATCATTATTAATTCAATTATTATTATTAATACACACCAACACAGGGAGAGCATGCAAACTCCACACAGAAATGGCCCAGCCAGGACTTAAACCTGCAACCTTCTTGCTGTGAGGTGACAGTGTTAACCACTGAGCCACCATATTGCGCATTACCTTAATTGGTCAAAAAATAACTAAATTAAAAAACATTGAAAATATCTTTACCTGTATAAATATAAGAAACAAGTGATCTGCTACAGCCACTTTCTGGCTTTTTTTTTTTTTAAATTATGCATTTTTTTAAATAAATAGTGCTTTGTTTCTCATTAAAATGCAGCCACTATTGCACACTAGAAGTGTTAAAGCTTGCATGGAAAGGAAGTTCCAATAATCTTTTCATTCTCATTGTGATATCTGAGTGAAACAGGGCTTGATTTCCTTGTGTAATTGCTTGGATTGTTGAAAGTTTAATGGAAATAGTCTTATTTGAATTTCAGTTTGGAAGTTTGTCTGCATTAGACACAACAAAGCAACTGTTGCAAAATCCATTTGTCTTGAATGTCAGCAATGCTTAAAGATCTTCAGAAATTAAACAGCATCTTTGTCTGGAATTTACCTTGTCATGCTGTGCTGCATCTACTGTGGACAAATCCACTGATTAGGGTGGGTTGTATGGTGTGTTTTAGTTGCGTTATGATCTTAACGTCATTGTGTTGTGAGATTAATGTTTGATTTTTGAAATGTCAATGTGTTGTGCACTACGTCACTGTAGGGTTGTATAGTTTTTAGCCACGTCATGATGATCACATCTGATTTAGACACAGGTACGAGATGCTGATGATCTAGTGTAATTTCACAGGGTTTGACATTTTAAACACTATTATTTTAAATACCAATATTCATTTAAATGTACAAATATGTGCCACAGAACAGATCACAGAAAAATCTTCACAAAGTATTTTTTATTAAACAGTGATAACATCAGCGTTTACTAGGAGTAGTTACATTCTAAAATCAAGAAATGTTGATACATGAGAATATTAAAATGGACAGTTCATCCACAACTGAAATCTTTCTCACCATTTATTCACAGTCAAGAGGTTAAAAACTTTTGTGAATTTCAAAATAAATAAATAAATAATAATACATATATACATATATAAATATATATATATATATATATATATATATATATATATATATATATATATATATATATATATATATATATATATATATATATATATATATATATATATATATATATATATATATATATATATAGAACGTATTTGTTAGTATAAGGGAACAAACTGTAATACTGGGTTATAAGGGGGTAACAACTAGATATGCATCACGCAAAAACCGCATACGTATGTTGAATTTAAGGTGCACTTTTCTATAAAGTGCAAAGTAATAAACCATAATGTTTAGGGAATAATTAAATATTGAATTTATGAAGCACTTTTTTGTAATTATTGCATACAAACAAAGAATGATTGCAAAGGGGTTGACAACCTTATGCAACCTGCAAACACCTGCATCAGTACTGTACATTAATTATAGACTAGATTCAACTTTATAGTCATTACACTTGTACAAGGACAAGGCAACGAAATGCAGTGTACCCTTAGTACCCTTATTTAGTGCCTGAGTTTTATAATATCGGGTGTTTAGGGAAATTACACCTTGTGAAATTGTTACCTTATTGTATGCTATACATATTTTTACACACACACACACACACACACACACACACACACACACACACACATATATATATATATATATATATATATATATATATATATATATATATGTATGCATATATATGTATGTATATATATATATACAGTTGAAGTCAGAATTATTAGCCCCCCTGAATTATTAGCACCCCTGTTTATTTTTTTCCCTAATTTCTGTTTAATGGAGGGAAGATTGTTTTGGCACATTTCTGAGCATAATACTTTTAATAAATCATTTCTAATAACTGATTTATTTTATCTTTGTCATGATGACAGTAAATAATATTTTACTTGATCTTTTTCAAGACACTTTTATACAGCTTAAAGTGACATTTAAAGGCTTAACTGGGTTAATAAAGTGAACTAGGCAGGTTAGGGTAATTAGGCAAGTTATTGTATAATGATTGTTTGTTCTGTAGACTATCGAAAAAAAAAAAAAAAAAAAAAAACTTAGCTTAAAGGGGTAATAA